TAATGCCTCTCGGGTATCGAATTTTTTCCCGCCAAGAAGTTATCCGAACTCTGGAGAAAGTAGAAGTCTGTAGGCGCAAGGTCTGGTGGTACGGCGGATGAGAGCTTCCAAACGCAGCTCTTGTCACTTGGAGACATTCTGTTGTGCAGTATGAGGCCACGCGTTATCGTGTAGGAACAGCGGAGACGATTGAACAAAGATGGTTGGACACGTGCAAGCTTCTCCATCCTTGCATTAACTTCTTCACATTTTACATCTGCAGTAATTAATGCTCATCCCGTTTGGTAAGAAGCTGTAATGAATCACTCCGCCGCTAGACAACCAAACAGTGACCATCACTTTTCTAGAGGTAAGTTTTCGTTAAGGCATTGATTAGGAGTTGAACCAGGATCCAACCAACTTGCTGAGCGCTTGCAATTACAATGCGGTTCAAAAATCTTTCGTTTGTGTACCTGTTGAGCAGTGCAAGGTACTCTCGACGTGTACTTCGCTCTGGCGATCATTGAGTTAGTGGGGCACTCATTTGTCAAGCTTTTTCACCGTGCCAATTTGACGCAAATGGACCAATATTGACTTTAGTGTTAACGTCGAAAGCTGCTGCTAATTCAGCCGTAGATTGAGAATCATCAGCCTCCACAATAACCTTTAATACGTCATTGTCGACCAGTTTTCGAACGACCACGGGGTTTAATTTTTTAGGTAAAAAATTTCCAAAACGGAAGCGGGCAAAGCAATAACAGATGGTGCGTTCGGTTTTAGTATTCGTTCTGTAAACATCGTTGATGTTGCGTGCTGTTAGTGCAGCATTGCTGCCACAACGGTACTCATATTCCATAATTACTCGAATTTTTAACGTATCCACGACGACGAAAAATATTCAAATGCGATGAAAACATTACGCTAATCAATAAACAAATGACTAATTTTGAAAAAAGAATTCTATGTTTTTAAAATAAAATTAATTGGAAATTAGAATTTTTAGCCAAACAAAAATTATTTTGATTTGAAATGGCCAGTACTGCAGAACAGCAATTTCATAGGTAAAGACTAACGGACTTCTCTAGGAGAGTAGAGATGGACTTGTCCAACCACTTACATGTCTCACTTGTTGACGGACGATTATTTAAAAGTGTATGTGATAACATGAAATACTTTGAACAATTTTATAAAAAAACATTTCGTATTTGTTTGTTATCTTACCTTTAACTTACCTTTAACCCTTACTGTTATCGGGAAAAATCGATTTAAACGACTGACTTAGAAAGTAGTATCCAATAACATTTTAAAGTTTTAGCTTAGTTATTATTTTAAATTAGTTTAGATATTGATAAATGTTAAAGTGCCCAACGCAAAAGCATATAACCAAACAGAATGGCATGGGGCGGTTGTGAATTTTCCCCTTGGCGGGGCACGCGCCTGGCGCGAAGGCGACGGCGTTTCTTGCCCGGGCCACATTCCTTGCTCCGTACATTCCGCGCCGACTCTACCGCCATATCTGCTAACGCTGCGCTGGCGATACATTTGTTGTTTCTAACATAAATAATTGTGGCGGCCGCAAACATTAAAAATATCTTAAGTAAATGCGATTTTCAAACATTCAAGTTTTCTTGCACTCTCAGTCACTCTTACTCTTTCATTTGTTTAATTTTGGTCTATTTCAGTGGTCACTTTATCTAGCCTAAAAGCATTAAAATATTTTATTCTGTGCAAAAAATATTTATAACATCAGACGGAATTAAAAAAAACTACCTAAAAATTTTACATGAAACTACCGAAAAATCTAGTAGTACCAGTTACTCGACTCCACCGAGTCATTAACTCTTGGGGCGATGTATACGCTTTCACAACAAAATCGCGGGAGATATATACAAAAATTGACCTGCATAAAGTTCAAAAAAATCATTAAACTAACTTTATATAAAAAAGGCTATATATAATAGAATATATGGAATATCCGGGGATAGGTGATCGCTACCAAGCTATTTCTAATTTGTTTTGTTTTGTTAATTTTGTAACGTACACGATTGTAAGGTGTTTTTTTAAAGTAACACTGGATGGTTTCTTGCCGGTTTTTCCCGAATCAGCGGTAAATTAAAAAAAGTGATTTTAAATAAGTATTATATATAATCTATATTAAATAAAAAGTTTCCGTTTCTATCCATATTTTTTCTAAAGCATGAAAATTAAAAATAAAGCAATCAGTTGAAAGAGAAAATAGTTAAACAATTGTGCGAATTATGTCAATTAAGTGCATTTAGTACTAGTTAGTAGTTTTGTACTAAAACGTATAAATGGAAGTAATCGGAGGGCAGTCAGACGGTAATTATATTGTAATGTATGTTGAGGGTGCAGTGTTTACTCAGGGTCGACGTTCGGTCGAGATTCCCACTAGCTCGCATTCCTGTCCGCTTCCACCGAAAGAGCAGGAAGCAACCGCAATAAACCGCATACTTTACCTTAATAAATGTACATATTCGCTAGAATGTCATAGTGAGAGTAACTGAATTTGATAGCAACAAAGACTTTTATATAGATAACATTTAACCGTATGTATTTCCAACTTTTATTGTACAAAATATTTCGTTGTAAATAAATTTATACACTTATGTTAAAGTTAACACCGCTGGGAACAGGCCTCCCCTCATTTCTGAGTGGGTGGTGGAGCAACTGACCCACCGCGCTACTTTTTGGCGGAATTTACACTTATATACTACTTTCTCTAATTCAAAAATATAAATATACATAACTCCTTCCTTCCCTTGTTTTACTTTTTGTGGATTAAAAATAGTGTAATACTATTTAAACACTGATTAAAACTAACATTGAAAAATACAACAATTATGTGAAATTTATAACATTAAAAGGTTCTGTAAATGGTAAAGTTAAATATTAGCAAATATTATTAAATTTATTGTATTATTAACATCTTAATTGATAAAATTGATTATTATCAAACTTCTCACACACGAGGAGCATTATTAGTTTTATGCCACGGTTAGTTAGAACGAGTAAGAACGGGTCCAAATTTAATAATCTTGGCGTATTTTGTACAGCCAGTATTTGTATCTTAAGTAGGGACGAACGTGTCGACCATATCGTATCACTAGCCATATCGTCAAAACATCAGCATAACTTTCCTTACAATATGTGGACGATACAAATTTTCCTCTGATTCTCTTTTTTGTCCACGTCCAAGTTTTTCGATACCGTGTAGCGGCGTATCGTATCCGCTTTGATGGCCGTGGAAAAACCAACAAGAGATAGCATGCGGCATATTAGGTATCGTTTGGTTCTATCGCGATACAGTATCAAAATATGCATCCTACTTCCGATAACGGTACCTACGTGTATACCAAAAGAGGTGTATCAGATACGAAGTTTTTTTGCGGAACGTAATGCATCAAACACGGTATAACAACGGCGTGTCATACATATGATTACGTATTTTGTATCCAAACTAGTGATTACGATACACATCTGAGCCACGAGACGGAGATAAGATACACGAAGATAACGATCAAACGTGAACCAGGCCTAATATTATCGTTCCTTTGTCATTTACACAAATAGAGCGCTGGTATGCTCGTTTCATAATTTTTGTGCGCGAAGACTGTTTCCAGCGACGTGGCGGCGCCGTTGGTACCGAGAACACAATGGAATGCGACTATTTACAACTTTTCCTATTTGCTTACATTTAAAACTCGAGCACGTATGGCATGCTTCAGCTGATGTTGCCTTTTCTCTCAAAAATATAAGCAAACTTTTAATTTAATTGACTTAGAAAAGACGACCAAGGCATGTAAATGATGATACTTTGACGAATAGTTGCTGTAAAAGTATTTTTCTAAATTACTTTCTACATAATAACATGTCTTTAAATTTTCACAGACAAACGAGTCCACCTTATGGTAAATTGTAGCTATTACCTACACCTATCCGCAATTAAGTATCAAAATGTAGAATCAGGCAGATCTCCTGAAGACTTAGAAGCTCTGGTGGACGTTACTTATCATGCAAAACAAAACGGCATTATGCTACTATTTTAGACTGGCATTCTGTATGTGGTCCTTTTCCCTGGTCGAGTCGACCCATTTGTGCCACAGGCATATTACAATGTGGCGCTACCAAAATCTCCAATGGACCAACATAATATTTACACATTTTTGGTATTTAAATACATGAAATTAAAAGCAGTCAAATGTAAAAATCTGAAAAGTGATTAGAAGAGATAGTTTCGGGCAACACGATCGGGCAGCGGTCGCCAAATGAATTAGCCTGAACAGGAATGGGGTCGGGCAGTCTGGCTGCGTTGGCATCCGGCCTAACGACGGGTCGGGCGCATTCCCCGCATCCAACTAGCAAGCGATGCTCATCGCTATACTCGAGCCTCTAGTTACAAATGCGTCGATGTCATTGTTTCAAATCAATAATAAATTTCCACATAGAAAATCGTAGATGATTTTAAAAATACCGTAGCTTAATACATTAAAAACCTAAACATGACGATATGGCAGTGACATATAATAATACTATGTCATGGTATACGATAGTAAGAGTTTCCATGTGGCTTATTTATTTAACCCCGCTTATTCAATTAACCGAGTTCGATCCTCGCCGGCACCAATGGGATTGTTAATTGCAATTTTAAGTGCTGACTTACCACATGGTGGAAAACATCGCGAGGAAACTTGCATGTCTGACAAATAAGAAAAAAATTATTTCGTAGACTTCACGTCTTCGAAATATTTTTTTTCCAGTTTGACCAACATGGATGGGGCCGCGTGACTGACATTTCCTTGCTCTAAAACCCTCTTAGAAATGAGACGCCTAGCAGTGGGACGGGACGTGTATAGGCTTTGTGACATTTATAATATTTTTAGTTTGTAATGTCATTTAATAAAAAATGCACTTAAGAAATATTAACCGAATATAAAGATTATAAAGCAATAACAATAACATTCGGCAGCACTGATATATTTAAACTATAAAAACCAACTCACCAGAAAGCTCTCCATACTGAAAAGCCCGCGGCTTGCAAGGGTAAGCTCACAGCGAGACCTTCAGGAAAATTCTGGATACCGATGCCAAGCGCCAAGTTCCTAAAGACAAAGAAACAAAATGTATTAATTAAAGTAATAAGGCCGCTTGCTTAAACACGCTAAAGTTATTGTCCGTAACTTTAGTTTTTTCTGTCCGATTTATTAGAAAACTGATTTCTATGTAGGATCGTGTGCTTGTGCGCTATGAATTCCGATTCCGAGTCGAGAGAAGTCCGAATTTTAGTTTTGACATTTCGGACCGAATTTGTCGGAGCAACCACTTGAAAAATCCTTAAACCATTTTGTATTACATCTAATTAACTATATAGTATATGTAAATTTACTGACTTATCTCTTTTAGTCGACTGCAAAAAAGGAGGAGGTTCTTATTGATTCTAACTTGACTATGTTTATTTTTACATAGTAGATAGGTATCTATGTTTACCTCATGCAATAAGCCATTTTTCTATGATTTTCTTTTTTTGTAACAGAGCAATTCCTTGAGTTATTTTTAATCGATTTGTAGTAAGGGCGAACAGAAAATAAAACAAAGGTGTAACTGTGAATATCACCTATTTGTTATTAAGAAAGGCCTGATATGCCATATTCGCCCTTATAACAATTTACTAATTTAATCATCAAACTGTTTTGTTATGCAAAACGGCGTATAATGTATATTTTCATTAAGTTTTTTATCTTCGATTTAGTCCGAAAACCTGACACCGAGCTGGCAACACTAGACTCCTAATATGACATTACATTTTAACGCCAGTGGGCGGCATCACTGGCATGACATTCCGGATAGTAAAATTACCGTGTGCACTCTGCACAAGCGCACAACTATTGGAAAAAATTCAGAATTGTAAAGTCTATATTATATATACATATTTACGATGAAGCTTTCATTTCGCTTTAAACTAAATGCATACGATGAGCTCAGTGGGAGGTAAATGTGCTAGCACATTCCTCAAGAGGACGTCCTACGTCCCCCGCGCGGCACCTGCCACCCTGCCCGGCTTGCATCGCTCTAGGAATGCAGCTAACTGTACAGCCTCCGTCACCGTTAAGCTCAACCGTCCCTACAGCTAAAGGTCGCCGCTGCTATGTTACATAATAGCAAACCATTTGCATAATAATACTCGAAGCTTCATAAGTTGCTTTATAACGACGTCATCAGCAATTGAAGCACGTTATGACCTTAGTACAGTGGTAACAATATGTAATAAGCTGAAGATCTTTTTGTAGAAAATACTCTAAACTTACGACTAATTGTAAGTCCGAAACGAAAATGAATTAAACTCATTGTTATTGTAAATCTTTTAAAACATAGTAAGCATTTTACGAAATATTTATAAAAATTCAATACTAGGGTAATATAGTTGTAGACATAAACTAAATCTTTACTTTGTAACAAAAGTTAAAATACGAAGTGTATGAGAAGATTAGTGTATCAAAACATAAATTAAAATAATGTCCTCCAGACCGAACTTCGGCCACAGCGGCCTGCCTCAACGGAGACTAGCCATCGGCGCAGGACAGGATAACAGTGCCCAAGTGTATGCACAAGCTCAGGTGCACTCTCTATTCCCTCATTCTCATAATCCGATGGGACGGTGAACCAACACGACCGGAGAGAGATCAGGCGCAGGACCAACAGCTTTAGGTGCTTTCCGAGGCACGAGGGTGAGACACGCCCAACTCCGGGCAACTACTGAGAATTTCTTGACGATAAAACTCAATAATTAATTTTTTGGCCAGACCCGGGGATTCGAACCCCGGACCTCATGATCAGCAGTCGCACTACTACAACCACTAGACCAACGAGGCAGATATATGAAAAATATAGTGATTATTTTTAACGTAATCTTTTACGCCTGCTATTATTTTATTTCTCTAAATTTCCTATGGTTGACTACTTTGCCGATAATGCCACCCACAAGGCATAAAGTCACAGTGGTACTTCGTACGTGTGCCCAAAAAATTTCAAATAATTAGATATTAAAATATATAAATAGACAAAACAAAATTGCAGCACGTTGTCTGTGACGAAATTAATTTTCAAGTCGTTTTCCGCGGATATAGTCTTTTTGGTTGTATCTCTGTGGAACCTAGCCCAATGCATGAAGACCTTAATAGCGTCATTCGACGGATAGATCTTGGAAATGAAACATGGAAAGACAAAGGTCATGTCTAAGTAAGTCTATTTCACAACTTACTATTAATTGTTCGGAGCATTACGCCAGAAGATATTGAAATTTTCAACATCGAGTGTGACGATAAATTGTCCGACTAGATAAGCCTAACTTCGATCGATTGGTTAATTGACGTATCCAACTCGGCTGGGTAGCATTCGTGAGATTACACATCTTCTCGTCATGTATACTTCTAAAACTTGAAAACAAGTGCGTGTTGTCAACGATGACATATGGATCTGAAACGTTATCTTTCACTGTAGACTGTAAGAGGAAGCTTAACGTTGCTCAGCTACAGAGGAAGCTATGTTCGGAGATTCCCAGCGTGATAGACTTCGTAATAAGGATATCCGCATTAGAGCACCAGAATGAAACGGAATGACCCAATAATCTAAGGTGACAATGTGCTGGCCATAGTGCCTGTATGTTTCGACAGCTAATGGGGTTGAAAGGTTCTTGAATTCTAGAATGGCCTCCTACTAGATACAATGACGATCAGGTAAGAGATGCAGAAAGTCGATGGAGGTAGCAGGTTCGAGACCGTACTTTGTGGCATTTGTTGGGGGGGCCTATGTTCAGCAGTGGACTTATGAAGGGCTGTAACTGTAACGATGATGATGGTGATGATGATGCTTTTATCTTTCATAATACATTTAAATTCTTAGACTTAAGATGCAAACCACAATATCTTACATATATACATTCTCTCGTTAAGTAGTCAAAATAAATTTGTCTAAATACGCGTAACTTACTCGTAAAAACCTGTAGGTGTAATTTGATGGTATTATATTTAGTCTCATTAGTGGTCAGGACTTTTCAGAGTAATTGTTAAAAGTTACAGCTCATTTCTGATAAGGTTTTATGACAAGGAAATGTCCGCTGCGCTGACCCATTGTGCTGACAGATATCCTCGATTTTTTTTAAATTAATTCTCTGAAATGTAGGTTTCCTCACGATTTTTCCTTCACCGAGCTGAGCACGTGGTAAATCAGCACTTAAAATTGCAATTAGCAATTTGTATAATTTGTAAATGGCTGCCGCATTCCATAGGCATCTGCAGCCAACCAACTCAAAAAAAGACTACAAATGCGTTGTCATAGCCAAGGATTATTACGCAATGCTTCACGGCATGCGATGATACTGGCTCTCCATTCCCTTCAGACCGGAACACAGCAGTGCAAGCGCTGCTATTTACCGGCATAAATATTATAATCATATAACTAATACATGATAAACGTTTAACTGTAAATCTAAGTGCATCTTTCAAAACTATATAATTAAATTTATGGCCATTGTCTCGATACAGTGCTATAATAATTTATTGAGGGCTCATTAAATACTAACGGTAGTGCATAAATAAATAAAAAAGTAGAATATGACTTATAGACGACGAAGTACTTGAAACAAAGGTTACTCTTAAAAATATCAGTCTGAAATATTTTTTTCAAAATGTCCGTCTGCTTATAATTTTTATTGAACCGGGATACAAAAGCTCATCTTCATCATCATCATCATCACCATCATTACAGCCCATCATAATGCTAATAAATTAATGCTGCTAATCATAGACCTCGCATAAGAAATGCTAAAAACAAAGCAGCAGGTTGTCATTCTATTCTGAGGAAGTGGGGTGGAAACCGGCACTTTCATAAATAGCCTTACCATATATTGAATGTCGTACTGGAACCAAAGGCATGATATAAGAGAATTTTGAATGCAAAAAACAAAACCGATAATTTTTTTAAAGGAAAGAGGCAAAGGAGCATAGGGCTCACCTGATAGTAATTGATTACCGCCGTCCATGAACAACTGCAAGACCAGGGGTATTGCAGATGCGTTGCCAGCCTTTTAAAAAGGAGTAGGCAGTTCTCTTGAAGGTCCTTAAGTTGTATCGGTCCTGAAAAATCTCTGGTGGTAGTCGATTTCATAACAAAGTTGTGCGAGGAAGAAAACTTCTTTTAAATCGCACGGTTGTGGACCGCCGGTCATCCGGATAGTATGGATGGTATCGCGAGTTTTGTCGCAATGTACGATGGTGGTATTGTGCGGCTGGAATTAGACCAAACAATTCCTCAGAGCACTCCTCGTGGTAGATGCGATAAAATATGCAAAGATATGCAGTAACTTTTCGCAGTGCCAGTGTGTCAAGCCGATCGGAAAGAGCTCGGTCCCCGACGATTCGAACAGCTCTGCGCTGGATGCGATCAATTGGAAGGAGCTAGCACTGGGAAGCCCCAGCCCAGAGATGGGAACAGTACTCCATGTGCGGCCGAACCTGCGCCTTGTAAAGTTACAGACGGTGAGCCGGCTTGAAGTACTGTCCCGCTCTGCCGAGTACGCCAAGCTTTGTAGACGCCAATTTGACCTTCTCTTCCAAGTGACAACGAAACTGCACGTCACTCGATACGTCGACGACGAGGATTCCGATACTGGCTGAGGCAACAAGAGGAGTGCCTTTAAACTGAGGAGATACGACGAAGGGATTCTTTTTAGCGGAAAACGTGCAAACTTGTGTCTTCTGGGGATTAAACTAGACTAGATTTAATCGCCCCCAGACCGAGACTTTGTTCAACAAAGTCTCGACTTCAGACACAAGTTTATCCCGGTACTCGGCGATGTTTTCCTGAGAAATATTAAAAGTGTATAAAGCATCACCAGTTCTGTCGTCTGCATAGCAATGAATGTTACCGGTTTGCAACATGTCATTGATATGCAGAAGAAACAACGTTGGTGATAGCACGCAGCCTTGTGGAACACTATGACATTTCTACTACGACCTTGATGCTCCGATTAGCAAGAAAACTGGTGATCCAATTGCACAATTTCTCTGGAAACCCACAGGAAGGAAGCTTCGTAAGAAGCGCTTTG